TAGAGTTATACCATATGTTTTAAATGATTTACTTAATCTTAATATCGTGCTTTGCGCGCCTCATGTTTTCTTATTTGTAATATTTAACTTAATTTCATATGTTACAACTCTAAATTAAGAGATAGATAAAGTTTATGTTTTTTATTTCCTTCCATTTTGTTTTACTTGAATTGGTATTGTGATAAAGAGATAGTCGTTTACATAAGTTTATTTTTCTCATTTTGAAACTCACCTCCGTGCAACGCACGGGTGAAATACTAGTTGGTATCAGAAACTTTATATTTCATTTTTCCTTATACGAAAATCTATGTGTTCAATTTGTTGTTCCTATATGTGTTTTTATTTATTGCATTTTTCGAACTCTCTTTTGCATTTTCTTGCATTTTCCTTCAATTTTTTTTAAAAGATAGAAAAATACTGCGAATTTTTTCATTATATCCGAATTTGGAACAGGAGATTATAAACTAATTAAGTTCCGAATTTTATGAAATCCTGCCGTCCGAGCCTTTCCGAAATCGGAATGAATTTGTGCATTCTAATTTTTTTGAAACGGAAAATTGGAACCCATTTTTTACTTCCGAAAAAAATTGGAAATTTTTCGATCCATTCCGCCCTATTTCCACCCACACACAAAACCCTCACACCTCGCACCTCCTCCTCCTCCTCCTCCTTCTCCTTCGCTAATCGGCGGTCAAAATTGGGGTCAAAATTGGAATAATGGTTAAAATTGGTTAATTGGTGAAATTGTTGAAATTGGACTAAAATGGGGTGTAAATCATAAAATTAGAGTCAAATTAAGATTTCAAGGAGTTGGGGGTAATTTTGGTATATATAAAAGTGGTTTTCCTTATTTGCAAATAAGTTTGAATGGTGGTTTTATTTGTAAGACAAGAAAATTTGATGTCCCTTTTTCAACTAAGTGATCTTGTCATGGATCTATTTGCGATTTACCCATCAATTTTCCCAGGCATTGAGGTTCAGTCAAGTGATAGATACAATTTTATTTCAAGAGCTTGTTGTCACGGACTTGTTCCCTTAACAAAGAATCGTGCGGCCTTAGCTCCTTCTCGCCCCTCGCGATAGCTAAGTCAGCCTCTCCCGAAATTGTGTTGCGAATCCTAAGTGATGGAAACGAAAGAAGAAATTAAGAAGACAAGAGAGTTGGTAGGAAAAGTACTTTATTGCTTGAGTGCTTTGGATTTTGTTGGATTTCTTGAATAATTACAAATGAGGACCCTACCTCTATTTATACAAGACCACCTCCTCAATGGACGGTGGAGATCGATATGATCTAACAGTTGGGAGTGAGACACTCCAAAGAATCCCCTAAATGTCTCTACCTACCACCACCTACCTTTACCTACCAAAGAATCCCTACCTACCACTATACAATTGGGCCAACTTGGGCTTAACCCTATTTGAGCTATATCTTGGACTCTCTCTAACCTCCCCAACCCAAGGGAAATCGGCAAGGGGTTGGGTCAAAACTAGCAGGCCGTGACATCCTCCCCCGCCTAATCCGGCGACGTCCTCGTTGCCTCGAATAAGTGGAGACGATCTTGAAATTGCCACAAGTCTTCCTTCGTCTCCCACGTTGCCTCGGACTCGGGTAATCCCTTCCATTTGATGAGGTATTGAATGCTCGGTGGAACTCCCCTACGTCGCTTCAATTGTCGGCCGAGCACTTCCTCGATCTCCTTATCGTATGACTTAGTCATGATGGGTGGTGCTCGGTGCGACTCTCCTCGGCTCGGGTCTTCCTTGTCTTCGTGATAAGGCTTCAACATACTCACATGGAAGACCGGATGGATTTTCAAAGAACTTGGAAGTTCTAGACGATACGAAACTTTACCGACCTTGGCGATCACCGGGAATGGCCCTTCGTACCTTCGCACAAGTCCCTTGTGCATGCTCCACAATGCCTTGAATTGTTGGGGTAAAAGTTTCACCATCACTTGGGCCCCAACGTCGAACTCCCGTGGTCGCTGTTTGTCGTCCGCCCATTTCTTCATTCGTCGCCTAACCTTCTCAAGGCACGCTCGGGCTAAATCGGCTTGTTCCTCCCATGACTTAGCCATTTTCAATGCTCCGGGACTCCGTCCGTCGGTTGCCGTAGCCAAAGTGTGTGGCGTAAGTGGCTGTTGTCCCGTTGCAAGCTCAAATGGACTCCTCCCCATGGCTTCACTCCGCTGCAAATTGTAAGAGAATTGAGCCACGTCGAGGAGCTTCGCCCAATCTTTTTGATTGGCTCCCACGAAGTGCCGTAAGTAGCACTCGAGTAGGGCGTTCACTCTCTCCGTTTGCCCGTCGGTTTGGGGGTGAAAACTCGTCGAGAAGCAAAGCTCGGACCCCAAAAGTTTGAAAAGCTCCGTCCATAATCGCCCCTGAAGCGCGGGTCTCGATCGCTTATGATGTTCCTCGGTAATCCCCAATATTTGACGACGTTCTTGAAAAAGAACTGGGCTGCCTCCTCCGCGGTGCAATCCCTCGGGCAAGCTATGAACGTCCCATATTTTGAAAAACGATCTATCACCACCATGATAGATCCGGCCCCCTCGGACTTCGGCAAGGCACTAATGAAATCCAATGAGATCGACTCCCATGGTCGCTCGGGGATTGGGAGTGGCTCAAGTAACCCTGCCGGTTGTTTATTCTCCACCTTGTCTTGTTGGCACACAAGACAAGTCTTCACGTATGCATCGACACTGTCCCGCATGTGAGGCCAAAAGTAGGCCGTCTCGAACAACGCCATTGTCCGCCTTTGGCCCGGATGCCCCGCCCACTTGGTGTCGTGGCATTCCCTTATGAGGTCCTTCCTCAAGCTGCCCCACTTCGGAACGAAGAGTCGCTGCCCCTTTGTGTAGGGTAGGCCGTCCTCTACCCAAAATTGCCTCGTCTTGCCCTCCTTGACGAGTCGGATTAGCTCCTTGGCCATGGGATCATGTTCGAGCCCTTCTCGGATCATGTCGGCCAAGTTCCCCCTTGTCGAGCTAATGGCTGCGAGTAATGCGTCGGCCACAACATTCACCTTTCTCGGTTTGTACTCCTTTAAAGCGGCTAAGAATGTTGGCTCGCCCCGTCGAACTCCCTTGGCAACTTGCGTGGCCGACAGTTGCCTTGGTTGCGTGCTTTCTTCCTTAGTGGTGCCGTTGATGGCTGGCACCATGCAAGGTGTCCCCTTCTCTAAGATGCATACGGAATTGAAACAAGGCATCGGGATAGCCATTACCTTACGGAAGAAATCCATGCCTAGCACCACCTTGAAGTCATCCATCGGTGCTACCGAAAAATCCACTTGGCCCTTTCAAGTGCCCAAGTGTAGCTCCGCGTCTCGTGCTACACCGTTGAGCGGTTGTGCCTTAGCGTTAACGGCCTTGAGCCAACCGTCTCGTCTAGTCCACCGTAGGCCAACCCTCTTGGCCTCGTCCTCGGTGATAAAGTTGTGGGTCGCTCCCGTGTCTACCATCACCTTTGCAGGGGTACCGTTGATGCGGGCCTCCACGTACATCAGCCCCTTGCTTGATGTTGCCGGCATCGGATTAGCCTTTAAGGCGTTCAGAAGTTGGAGCGATCCCATGTTGCCTAGCTCCTCGTTTGTGCCTTGCTCGGCCTCTTGTTGTAAGAGTGCCGACAATGACCCCATCTTGGGACATTGACTCATCGCGTGCGGCCCCTTGCACACGAAGCATCCTCCCTTAGGCACAAACGACTTCTTCTTCTCTTCAAGTTGTTGTCGCGAGGATGGCTTGTCTCCTCCCCTCGAGGTTGACGCTCGTCGGGGGTCTCGGTTATCTCGTTGGTCCCGACCATGATTGTCCCGTCTCTCTCCTCCGCCTTTAGTCGGGCTCCACTTCTCTTTTCGCAACGGCTCTCTCGGTTGATACTCGGTTAAAGTCTCGGCGGCGGCAATAGCTTCATCGACGGATTTGATGTCTCGTCGGTGGAGTTCTTGCTTGGCCCAACCTTGTAACCCATCGGTGAAGTGGAAAAGGAGATCCTCCTCGGAAAGGTTGGGAATTTGAAGGGTGAGGGTGGTGAACTCCGTCACGTACTCGCGGATTGAACTTCGTTGCTTGAGTTCCCTCAACTTCCTTCGAGCCTCATAGACGACGTTCTCTGGGTAGAAGTGTCGCTTGACTTCCCTCTTGAACTCTTCCCAAGTATCGATTCGGCAAATGCCTTTCTCGATATCGGCGTGCTTTCTACGCCACCATAACATAGCCGTATCGGAAAGATAAAGGGAAGCAGTTCTTACCTTAGTCGTCTCGTCGACCAGACCAATACCCTCGAAATATTGTTCCATCCTCCATAGGAAGTTCTCGACTTCCTTGGCGTCCCTTACGCCGTTGAATCCCGTTGGCTTCGGGCAGTCCACCCTTGGACTAGAAGTAACACCAGTGTTTCCACTAGCGGCGGCCTTTTTGCACAAGGCCAAGTCGTCGCGCATCCCCTCGATGCTCTCTTGGAGGGATTGGATGATGGCCTCCAATCGATCCAATCGTTCCTCCCGCAACGTCTCATTGTCCCTAGACAAATCGAGTTGCTGGCGACGTGATTCTCCAACACCCCTGTATCGTGCTCGAGCTTCTCGAATCGTTCGCTAAGCTCCGCTATGGCAACGCTATTCTCGAGCCTCTCGAGTCTTTCGCCATGATCCGTTAGCACGGCCTCATTAACAGTACTCTCCCCACGAGCCTTGCTGTGGTCCCTCTTCTTCTTGTTGTTTACTTGGGCCTCCCTGCCACGTCCCTCGGTTACGTACGAAATATCTTCAACGTTCGCCATCGGTGAGAATTCGATCAACACAAAGCCCTTAGCCGGGCTCTGATACCACTTGTCACGGACTTGTTCCCTTAACAAAGAACCGTGCGGCCTTAGCTCCTTCTCGCCCCTCGCGATAGCTAAGTCAGCCTCTCCCAAAATTGTGTTGCGAATCCTAAGTGATGCAAACGAAAGAAGAAATTAAGAAGACAAGAGAGTTGGTAGGAAAAGTACTTTATTGCTTGAGTGCTTTGGATTTTGTTGGATTTCTTGAATGATTACAAATGAGGACCCTACCTCTATTTATACAAGACCACCTCCTCAATGGACGGTGGAGATCGATATGATCTAACGGTTGGGAGTGGGACACTCCAAAGAATCCCCTAAATGTCTCTACCTACCACCACATACCTCTACCTACCAAAGAATCCCTACCTACCACTATACAGTTGGGCCAACTTGGGCCTAACCCTATTTGGGTTATATCTTGGACTCTCTCTAACCTCCCCAACCCAAGGGAAATCGGCAAGGGATTGGGTCAAAACTAGCGGGCCGTGACATCGTGCTTTGCAATTACAGTCATAAAATAATAAATAATAAATAGCTAAACAGTTTTGGAACCTCATAGTTGTTCCAAAGAAACTAAAACCTTAGCCATACTTGGTCTCTGTTCTGGGATTTGTCTTAGGCACTGCAGAGCAATTGTTGCAACAGCAAATGCTGCCTTATGAGGGAATTGACCCTCTAATTTGGGGTCCATTATTCGAGACAGAGTTTTCTTGCGACGCAAATATGGTGTTGCCCAGTGTACTAGATTGCACTCATTAATAGGCCAGCTGTTTCCGTCAACACTTTTCCGTCCGGTTAGTAAGTCAACTAAAACGACCCCAAAGCTATACACGTCGTATTTTGTTGTTAATCGACGACCTGCTTGTTTAACACATGTTAAATACAATTGAATCGATTTTGTTACGATTTATGACTTATGATGCTTATAAATTAACACATGTTGAATCCGATTGAACCTGTTGCAAAATATTCGGGTGCAGCATAACCACATGTACCCATAACTTCTGTCCTATTACCCATCGGACCCTTCATAGCTAAACCGAAATTACACAATTTTGCGTTGAATTCCTGCACCCACACAAGATCATACGCAAACAATCAATAGATGGTTTATATATACATATATACACACACACACATACATACCCCATCCAAAAGAATGTCAGCTGTATTAAAGTTTCGGTGTACGATCGGGTTTTCATTGTCGTGCAAGAAAGCTAGCGCTCGAGCGGCACCAACAGCCACTTTAATTCTTGTCACCCAAGGTAGTGTTTGATCATGTGATCCTATGTCACGGGGGCAGTAACCAATGTTCATATAATTACGTCATCAAAAAACAATTAGTACATTGCAAAAACTATTACCTCCGAATAGATGACGGTCCAAGCTTCCTTTGGGAATGAATTCATATACCAAAATCATGTAATTTTCTTTAGAGCAGTGTCCAATGAGTTTAACTATGTTTGGATGACGAAATAGATTCAAATAGTTAATCTCCTTCTGCATAAGTTGTAGTCGTTGGTTGGTAAAAGGATTACTAAGCATAAGGAAACTATTATTATTATTATTATGAAAATTAATAAATCGAAAAAAAATATATACCAGAAAACACTCTTTAATGGCTTGATGTCCTCCCGCACTCCATTTCTCGACAGTAACAGGTGTTCCGAATCCAGGTTCGGAAGCAGTAAGAGTGTTCTCATCAATCCATCCTTTCGAAAAATGACCAAACGCTCCTTCCCTAAAACCGAGTACGGTCGAAAGTTTCTCGTCGCTTTTTTCAATTCTTCAAATTCATTGTGCTCTGCTTGAAGGAGATTCACAAGAATCATGTATACGTGACTGTTATACTTAAAAAACATTGGAGCATATAATATTATTGACGTGCATCGAGTTTTACACAGAAAAAGGCAAACTTGATTACACTCAGCATATATATATATATATATATATATATATATATATATATATATATATATATATATATATATATATATATATATATATATATTTGTATACCATTCTGAACATATTAACTGAACATATTAACTAGTTTATTCAATCTGAAATGTTAAATGTCGTTTCAATTTTACTAATACCGTTTTCACTTCGAACCTAATTTTGACATATTTTCATTTTGATTTTTGGCAAAATTCAAAACACGAAAACTGTAGTCCTTTTGGTTAGCTTTCTAATCCAACTTAAATCCGCTAGATTGGATGCCGTGTGACAAAGTTATGCACGAATGAGTCACATTTTGAATTTTAGATACATCAATACATCAAAGTTGTGGGCAGTATCCATTGATTCATGTATATCTTTGTCGTCCGACTTCCAATTTTGGTGATTCAAGTTGGATTAGAAAAATAACTCAGAATACTACAAATTCTATTTTTCGGGTTTTGCAAAATTTAAAATTAAAAATGATCAAAATCACGTTTGATATTATTAAAGCTCGAACGACATTTATCACATCCCTTATTCAATTATATATTGTTTATGAAAAATGAAGTTATTCGCGGCTCGATCCGGCTTCTAATCGATCAAAGCGCGATCTGATTTCTTAATGAAATCAAGCTCATACACAACATTTTGAACAATCATCCACTCATCTCGACTAGCTCGATTCATTATACAAAGAGTAACAACATCAGCTACCCAAATGTTAAACAATCGAAGATTAATAAATTAAAGACTAGTATATATATTATTGAAATACCCGCAGTAGAGGTTTCATCTTCACAAAAACTGAAACGTGAGCTGAAATCAGCTGAAATAGAGGTATCGAAGCTTTCACATAGCGCAAGGTATCTAAGTTGTTCTCTGTTGAGGATAGCTGCAACCAACCTTTCCCAGCTATCATACACCTTCGACATATTTCAACGCTAATCCCTTCTTTTCTATAACTGGTTATATATATGTAATGAATAAATCAAACTTTTTTTGAATTCTATCACTCATCCAGTCAAAGTCGACCACTCTCTAGTCAAAGTCTACCACTATATAAATTAGAACTTGCCAAGAAATTTCAATTCCCTCGAGCCATTCTAGTCAAATATCATTTCAATAGAAAGACATAAATACCCCTATCATGTACATAACTAACTTCTAAAACTAATAATAAAGTAACCTTCGTTGTTGTTAAAACCAGACCGATTGAACCTTGAACCGATCACTTAACCGCCGTAAAAAAATGGGTTGCATGTGCAAAACCGGTTGAAATGATAAATGGGTTTTTAGCGAAAAAAATTACACGTTAGCTCGGATTCTCTCTCCACCCGTTTTTAGCACATGGGGAGTTAGAGCATCTCCAAGAGTGTAATGTAAACCTTTATTTTACACGATATGAACAACCAACTCAAAATAGTGAGCTCTAAGAATAAAATGCATAATTAACAAATTGGCTAAATTGTAACTTTGGCTTCTCAAATTTGAGAAACCAAAACTACAATTTAGCTAATCCAAAAAATATTAAAATAATATTATATTGTTCTTTATAATATATTTATCATTAAAAAGTATTTTATAAACAAACTGTTGGAGATGGTCTTATAAAATGAGTAAAAGTGCAAAAACTACCCATGTGCCCAATCACCGTTTGGGGAGTTGCAAACGATTTTTTTTTTATATATAAAATGACACCCCTATTATAAATGGATGTATGTCACTACGTATACCTACCTATACATATTAAACCCGTACATATAAAAACCGGTCACTCATTATGTGTATAAAAAAAAAATTACAGAAAATTTTAATGAATTAATAATATACATATTGGAGAGTCCTCGCTTCCACGGGCAATAAACTGTCCACAAAAACAAGCCCTCACAATGTATCTTTTACGTTTATGCCCCTCATAAGTCCTCACCAACCGGTGTACGATCAATGGTTGGTTTAAAACTCCTAATCGTTAGTAAATTAAATCTAGTGTCTTTAATATTATATATAATCATAAATACATACCCCATACAAAAGAATGTCCGATGTATTAAAATTTCGGTGTACGATCGGGTTTTCATAGTTGTACGGCAAGAAAGCTAGTACTCGAGCGGCACCAACAGCCACTTTAATTCTTGTCACCCAAGGTAGTGTTTGATCATGTGATCCTATGTCACGGGGGCAATAACCAATGTTCATATAAGTAAGTCATCGAAAAAACAATTAGTATGCAAAAAATATTACCTCGGAATGAGTAGTTGTCCAAGCTTCCTTTGGGAATGAATTCATATACCAAAATCATGTCATCTTCTTCGTAGCAATATCCGATGAGTTTAACTATGTTTGGATGATGAATTTGACTGAAATAGTTTATCTCTTTCACGCCTTGAAGTCCGTCCGCACTCCACAACTTAACAGCAATAGCTGTTCCAAATCCAGGTTTCGAAGCATTAAGGGTCTGATTGGTTTAAGGAAAATAATGAGTAAAAAGGTGAAATTATTAGGTAAATTGTTTTTCATGTTTGGTTGCAAGGTAAAGTGCTAGATAATGTAATTACATGGAAAAAGTGAGAAAAAAATTACACTAAAACTAGGAAAATGCATTTTCCTCAAGAAAAGCGATGAAAATGCCATGTAATTCTCTTATTGTCTCTTTTCTCTTCTCTCTTCCCTCTCTCTCTTCCCTCTCTCTCTCTCTCTCTCTCTCTCTCTCTCTCCCTATTTTGTCTTTTCCTTTCCTCTCCTCCTCATCCTCTTCTCTCTCACACACATACACACATCATAACAATAAATTATTAAATTAGATTCATAATCACAGTATTTTTTTTTTCTTTTTTAAATATAATAGTTTTTTTTTTTACTTTTTACATCTTTGATAGAAAATAAAATTACCCCATTTAATAATTTATTGTCATTTTCACATTTTTTCCTAGAAACCAAACAAAAGTAAGTAAAATGATTTTCCACAAAGCCATTTTCATCACTATTTTACTTAGGAACCAAACACAACTGGGATTTCAAAAGTCCTTGATTTCCTTTTCTTTTACATTTTCATTTTCCTTATTTTGAAATCCATGAACCAATCACAGCCTAAGAGTTTGCTCATCAATCCATCCTTTCGAAAAATGACCAAACGCTCCATCCCCTAAATCTTTGTAATATCGAAAATTTTCCGTCGCCTTTTTGAGTTCTTCAAATTCAATGTACTCTGCTTGGATGGAATTAGCTCCAGAGCTGATGCTATTGCTGGAAATTATAGATGCTTAAGGGAATTGTTGGTGAAAATACCTACACACAAGTGCACGTATTGAACAAGTAATATATTCGAATATCGACCCCACAGAGAATATTTAATTATCTAATCCTAGATGCTAAATTCTACCAATTATGCTCAATCCCACCCTACACGGTCGAAAGTTGATTAGTTAAACTAAATCATTTTAAAAACAATTTAAACCAGCAAAACCAAGAAATCAATTAAACACGAAAAATTATCAAGATAGACAAGCCTAGGATTTTATTCTCCCCCTATGTGATTATTAATTCCCCAATTCTTTCAGTTATGCAAGTTATTAAATCCGATTACTAACCTGAGATGCTAAATTAATCATAACCCGCTTCCGCGTGTATTACGATTCTAATACTCTAGATTCAATTACTGTATTCCTACGCAATTAATTCTAGAACACAACACCAAGCACAAATCTCAATAATAGCTACCTAAGAGATCCTATGTTAATACCACAAAGGCTCTTCTACCCAAGTTCTAATTAAAAATACGGTATTTCGATTAATGCGATTAACAATAAGAGTAATGCACATAAAGTGACCAGTTTCATGCACTTAATAAAACAAGTAGAAGAAATAATATAGAATTAAAACTTGGATAAAATCGTGGAAAATGGTTCATAAGTCCCACATATGGTTCAAAATAAAATCCTAGAATTAAAGAGTTTAGCTACCCATGATCGAATTAAAAGCTAAATACAAATAAATCATGGAAGATAAAAACTATGCTTGAATGTTCAAACTCTTTGTCTTCGTTATTGATTATTTTCTCTCGAATTTAAAAAGATGACTCCTAATTGTGTGCTTGAGATGACTTTTTATAAAATGGGAAAAATTGGGGAAAATGTAGTTTCCTTTTATTTTTTTGGAAGTTTCTTTACTGC